TCCAGTGAAATATATTTATGTTTGTGGTTGTAATGTGACAAAATATGGAAAAGTTCAAGGGGTATGAATACTTTTGCAAACCACTGTAAATGTTGAAAAAACAACAACAACAAAAAAGTTAATTTCATTTTGTCCTATGTGTGCATGAACCTCCTCATATGATTTTCTTTTTTTTGTTGTTTTTTTTTCTTTTTAATTTTATCCATTCTCTCTTCTTTCCACGTTTGGATATTTCTTTGTTTCTCCCCTCATAGCCTTATTTCCCCCAACATGTGTATCACCTGCCACGACATTACTCCCATCATGTCCCCCCACCTTCGCGTCCTTCTGTTAAACCACCCAGTCAGCCTCAGGATACCAGTGGACTTGTAAGTAAAGAGAGAAGCACCAGATCCATTTCACATGTCTTCTCATCTCATACTGTGTTTACAGGCAGAAACAAGGGAGAGGATTCGTCCTGTAAATCATTATTGTATGATTTCTCAAACAATAGTCTTCTTGTGTCTTCTATTTTGCTCAATTTTGTTTCCCTCCTTTTTAGTTCAGTGCTTTTGCTTTACTTTCTCCATTATGTTTAGTTGATTTTATTGTCATTCACTATGCTCAACCACAACCCTGAAAGGAGTGGAAAAAGTAAAGAAGGTGCTTTCATAAACTACTTGTTTATGAATTTAATTACTCTGTTTTTCTCGTACAATCTGTGTTTTCGTTCTGGGCCTGTGTCAGGTTGCAATTGCAGAGGATGCCAGGGAAGGTCTGCCCCCAAGCCCCATTGAACACACTATGGTAACCCGTCTAACATCAGCAGACCAGCATGTATTCTGCGCTCAGTTGTGAAACTAGTCTAACCAACAGTATCTGTTTGTTGATCTAATAGTAAAGTCGTTTTTAGTTGCATTCATAAAACGCATGCGTTTGATGTTTTGTGTTCAAAATATGTTTAGAGCAACCACATCATACATTCGCAATTCTAATGAAGTCGGGACATTGTGTAAAACATAAATATAAGCAGAATACAATGATTTGCAAATCCTTTTCAACCTGTATTTGATTGAATTCACTACAAAGACAGAACATTTAATGTTCAAACAGATAAACTTTGGTTTTTTTTTGCAAATATTCACTCATTTTAAATTTGATGACTGCAACACGTTCCAACAAGCTGGAACACTGTGTTATTAATAAGCGTTTGGGACTTTGTAGGTGGAATTCATTCTCGTTCTTGCTTGATGAACAACTTCAGTTGCTCAACAGTCCGGGGTCTCCGTTGTTGTATTTTGTGCTTCATAATGCTCCACGCATTATCAGTGGGAGACAGGTCTGGACTGCAGGCAGGCCATTGTAGTACCCGCACTCTTTTACTACGAAGCCTCGCTGTTGTAACACGTGCAGAATCTGTCTTGGCATTGTCTTGCTGAAATAAGCAAAACGTCCCGGAAAAAGATTTGCAAATCATTGCATTCTGGTTTATATGTTTTATTCAGCATCCCAACTTCATTGGAATTGAGGTTGTAAAAAAAGTCCTTTTTCAGTAGCCAGATGGCTTTCAGATTGTATACTTATCGACTATGACTATAAAGACTGTATCACATCTAATTTTAATAGTCAGATTAAAGTTTATTGGAACGCGGGCAAAGTCAGAGTTTCAATTCTCTTTCATAGATTTGGCTTCACATAGATTCTTGCAAAGCACTAAGTTTATTGGACTGCTTGTGAGGCTTTTTCTTATTTTCCCCCCTTTTTTAAGCCACCAAATGGAGAAAAAAGAAGTGAACGTCTGTGTCCAGATATGCACACATTTCCAGAAAGAGCAGCTACTATTAGAAGAGTTTAATGATAACACAACTCAGGAGATTTCTGCTTCACAAAGCCACTTATCAGAGCTCTGCCAGCAAGCATTGAGAGAAGCTGTATGAAAGATTTAAGTAAAGATTACTGTGTAATGTTCTATTCCTCTACCTCTTATCTGTTGGGATTTTGTGTTTTAAATTTTTTTTAAAATCCTGTCCTTTATGCCCGCATCAGTGTATTAAAGTTTATGCAACTTTTTTGCTCTTTATATCTTCTTTTTCCTCTTTCCTTAATATAAATTTGAATGTTTTCACACTCTTTTAGGTTCATGCTTAATCTTATTGTGCAGCGCTTATTTGTGCAAATGTGTGTTTGTACACATTTGTGTGCGGCTCTTGGATATGTAAGCAGGCCCAGCCGAGTGTAATTACCTAGCTGATGTAAGTGTGAGTGTGGATCCCTGTGGCTGCTGGGATTATCATCAGAGCAACTGTTGGAGCTGGCAACACACACACACACACACA